TTTTTATGGTTATAAAACTAATTAGGGTAGCATAGATAAAATGAAATATAGCAGATAGGATATAGAAAAATGAACTATATATTGGGAATAGAATTTTGATTAAGGATATTTGTTGTGGAATATAAAGTTAAACGAGGAGGAAAAAAGAACTATGTATCTAAAGATGTTGTGAGCGAGACAATGTCTAGATATTTTAAAAACGTATTGCTCTTTCTGTTGTTTTGTGTAATCCTTAAAAACTAATAAACTTTGCCCATTTGGGCAAGTATATATATATATAAAAAAACAACTGAAATGGACTGGGTCAGTGTGGAAAGGAGGGGGGCACCAAAATTGGTCAGTGCTTAGGGCACCGGTGAGCCTTAACCCGCCCCTGACGGCCACCGTAGTTGACTGGGGCTGGTGGGGAGAACGGGTCACGTGAACACATGAACCTGCCGTACACCAAATCAGACCCTTGGTCCATCAGGGTCAGGATTGTCTACTCAGACTGGGGTAGCGGCTCTCCAGGGTCTCAGGCGGAGATCTTCCACATCACCTGCCTGGTCCTTTCCACTGGAGATTGAACCGGGGACCTTCTGCCTGCCAAGCAGAGGCTCTTCCACTGAGCCAAGGCAGCTCCCACACCTAGTACCGTCCCTTCTGTCTCAGCTGCAACAGAAGTTACTTTGGAGCCTGCATGGCTGAGCGAGTAACCGACTACCTCACCGTTGGGGTCTCTAGGAACTGGGGCAGAAACACGAGCAAACTCCTTGGCTGGTGACCCCGAAGAACGCAGCCTGGATCTGTGCTGGTAAAGGGCGACGCGGGCCTTCTGTGTCTGAGTACTCAATGCTGGTGGAAGAGAGACTGTTCTCGGGTCCGGCTTGTGAGCAACGCTCCCTCGAAGCTGTGGAGTCCTGTGAGCAAAAATTCTACTTTGTGAGCTCCTGGCATTCAAGTGGTGAGCGAGCGATTCAGCTACTGCATCATTAGCTTGCTCTGGAGCCGTCCTTCCCGAGCCGAGACAAAAAAAATCTGAGCTGGAGGCTAAAAAGCTGTGAGCTAGCTCACACTAACTCAGCTTAGAGGGAACACTGCTTGTGAGATTCCTGACTGGTGGTGGCGGCGGCGAACAGAATCTGAGGCCCTGAAGCCGAGACCCGATCAATCTTTTGTTCTGAGGGGGATGGCTCTTGGGGCCCGCCATGCAACTCAGTGTGACGCCCCACTGTCTCGGTGGGCACTGAGGGAGCCAGTCCATGCCCCAGTATGCATGCCCACCCCCGCGTAGCTTGGTGTAATGGTTAAGTGCGTGGACTCTAATCTGAGAGAACTGGGTTTGATTTCCCACTCCTCCACTTGCACCTGGCTGGATGACCTTGGGCAAGCCGTAGTTCTGGCAAGAGCTGTCCTTGAAAAAGAGCCATTTCTGTCAGAGCTCTCTCAGCCCCACCTACATCACAGGGTGTCTGTTGTGGGGCGGGAAAGGAGATTGTGAAAGGGAAAGGGAGCGGTGGCGCAGGAAGTAAGGGAAGCCTGCTTTAAACATCTGGGCGAACAGCTCCGACTGTTCGATCCCCCACCGCGGTCAGGGTGAGCTCCTGGCCCTGTGTCCCAGCTCCCGTCGACCCAGCGGTTCGAAAGCCCGTTAAAGGGCAAGTAGATAAATGGGGACCTGCTATTAGAGCAGGGGGCACCCACCTCAGTTGTAGCGGCGACGGCAGGAGAGCGGATAGCGGAGAACAATGAGCGGCGGCGGTGGCAGAGAAAAATGGCGGCTGGCGACGAGGCGATGGATGAAGGAGGCCGGACCAACTAGGCGTGGAGGCAGAGCGACGCGGCAGGCCGGAGCCTGATTTGGACAGAGACCGCTGCGAGCATGCGCAGAAGCACAAAGTGGTCCTGGCCTGGAGGCGGAGTTACGACAGCCGGAGAGGTGGAACAACAAAGACCAGCGCCGAAGAAGGGTCGCCGCCAGACTGTCCCCTCACAAGGAAGATCTGCTACAGAACAAGGGTGCCTGGTAGGAATCTCACCTTCCCGACATTCATGTGGCCCTAGATTAGGATTGTTCGGAATTAGAATTGTAAGCCGCTCAGAGCCCCTTAGTGGGGTGAGCGGGATAGTAAGTTGAAATAAATAAATAAATAAATAAATGATTGTAAGCCGCTCTGAGACACCTTTGGGTAGTGAAGGGCGGGGTAGAAATCCAATCTCTTCTTCTCCCACCCGCCTGCTTCGACGCACGGCTCCTCGTCATCCACGCACCAAGGCGGGCCTGACGTCTCTGGCTGGGCCTGTTCGGAACACCGGGAGCGGTGGAGGCGATTCCGCCTATTAAAGACAGGCCAGCTCCACGACGGGACCAGGACCAAGGCTGAACCGGCACTAATTACACTAAAAGCATTATCTAACCAAGTTGGCAGGTGTCGGAGGGACAGTCGGGACACTCAGGGGTATTAAACCACGCTTTAAATCAAAACGGGTTTTGGTGCAGGGTTACGGGAGAAGGGTGGATGGACGGAACTGCTCGCCGCTCCTTCAGGGAGGCAATGCAGATAAACACGGGAGTCTTGGATCGATGCCCCATGCACCTGGGACAACACCCCACCCCCCAGAAGATGATGCTTAAGGTTCTGCAGGTTTTTCAGCTGTTGGGAACAGCTCTTCTCTTTCTTGGTTCACATTAATTCATGTATCCCCTGCCCTTCTACCCCGGGGGTGGGGAGAAAGACCCAAAGCGGCTTACCTCATTCTCCTCTCCTCCATTTTATCCTCACAACAACCCTGCAAGGTAGGTCAGGCTGAGTGTGTGTGTGGCCCAAGGTCAACCAGTGTGCTTCCATGGCACGAGTGCGGAATTTGAACCCAGTTCTCCCAGACCAGACACTAGTCTGACACTTTTTTTTTTTGCATTTGTGTGTGTGCGTGCCTGGAAGTCATGTGATTAACACATGGGATTCACTGCCACAGTGGCGGCTACAAGCATGGACGGCTTCAAGAGGGAATTGGATAAACACATGGAGCAGAGGTCCATCAGTGACTATTAGCCACAAGGTATAGATAGGAATTCTCGGGCTGGGGCAAGTGATGCTCTGTATTGTTGGTGCTGGGGGGGCAACAGTGGGAGGGCTTCTAGTGTCCTGGCCCCACTGGTGGACCTCAGGATGGTATCAATCTAGAGAGACTTGTACTTTCAAGGACTCTTAGGTCAGTATTCAACTGGTGCAGTTGTCATGGAAGCACGGCGGCAAAACTGTTTGTTCTGTGTATTAATTTTGGTTGTAAGTAGAACTGTATAAGACGACAGTCGTCTCTAGTGTGTGATTTGTACAGTGCAACAGATTATGCTGTTTCTTTGTATAACTGCATTCGCTGTATTTCCAGTTTTGTGTGTTTGTTAACCTTGGAGAGACCGACGACTGCTAGGCCGTTGGAACAAAAGGCGGCCGGGGGGGGGGAAGAAAGAAGGGGGGGGGGGGGGGGGGGGGGGAGACAAGGAAGGTGAGAAAAGGGTGCTTGAGTCCGAGCCTGGAAAGGAAGACCCGTGGTCTGTGCGGATGGGCCAGCCACAGAGCTTCGGAACTCGTCAGAATTTCGGCTGCAGGACGTGACGGGCGGCCGCTCTCTGTGGCAAGTGCCACACCAAGGAAGGATGGACAGACCACGCATTCTGCACCGGCCGTCCCGCTAAGAGGGAGGAGCTTGCCCCCGCCACGCCAAGGGGGTTCAGGTCCAGTGAGAAGCTGTGCGGCCTCTCGAGGTTCCCCCACAACCCCAAGCAAAAACGCTGCCCTACAAGCTGAGGTGGGCAGATCGCCCAGAGGTCTTGGCCTGGGGGAAACGGCAGGCGCTTCAGGCAGTGTAGAAAAAGGGGACAGAGGGAAGCAAAAGAAAAAGAAAGAGACTGCCCACAAACGGACGCAATGGAATTGCCGCAGGAGGGGATCTCCTGTATGTGTTTGCACGGGGTCGAGGGGGGTGCCAAGGGCTCATACCCAGCAGGCCAGCCTGACGATTGAGCCCAACGGAACAGCACTGGCCGGCCAGCGTCCCTCCCCCTATCAGCTTGCGAAAGTCAGCCTCAGAGCTCAGGAGACGCTTCCTAGTTTGACGCTGCAAGTGGGGCTCCTCTCTAATCCGGGGGGACCGGGTTTGATTCCCCACTCCTCCAGAGGCAGCTGCTGCTGTCACCTTGGGTCAGTCACAAGTTCTCTCAGAGCTGGAAAATCTACAGCAACTAATCTCTCAGAGCTGTTCTCTCAGGAGCTCTCTCTCAGCCCCGCCTCAAGAGAGCTCGCTCTCAGCCCCGCCTACCTCACAGGGTGCCCATTGTGGGGAGGGGGAGGGAAAGGAGATCGTAAGCCGCTCTGAGACTCCGAGTGAAGGTTGGGGTATAAATCCAGAAGGTTGGGGTATAAATCCAATCTCCTCTTCTTCCTCCTAAACCAGATACACCCCATTTGCATTTTGCACACCCCTCTATGTACCCCCCCAGCAATATTCCCTCTAAGCTGTGGAGTCTGGTGAGCAAAAATTCTTGTGAGCTCCTGGCATTAAAACTGTGAGCGAGCGATTTGGCATAAAATTAGTTTGCTCCGGAGCCCTCCTTCCTGAGCTAAGACAAGAACGTGTGAGCTGGAGGCTTAAAAACTGTGAGCTAGCTCACACTAACTCAGCTTAGAGGGAACACTGCCCCCCAGACTGAATGGGTCGGGGGGGGGAACTGCCTCCCTCGCCCTCCGCCACCATCCGTCAGGGAAGGACCCTCATGCTGGAGGCGAACGCCACTGCTGGTGAACGGATCGACAGGACCCAAACCCCATGGTTTGCTACGCATCCAGAAGTCTTCTGGGTGCCGCGGGGGGGGGGGGGGGGAGACTCTTGCCCTGGAGGTCTCCTCTGGGCCCGCCGACGGAAGCAGCGGACAGCAGTGGCCGGCCGGCACCGCATGGGGACAGCCAGCAACTCGGGGAAAAAATTATTCCGTTTGGCTAGATTACTATAAATGGGGAATTTATTATTTTTCCCCTGGAGAGGGAAGGAAGGATTTGGAACTATGACCCCCCTCCCAAACACCCCCCCTTGCAGCCTGATTGGTTATAGAAAGAGTCACAGACGTGGGAGCGGTCGGCCACACTTCCTCGGCCAACCAGAAAGGTATATACGTCTGCACTCCGCTTGGGATGCGGCAGACTCCCTCTGGATTATACAAAGAGGTCCCCTTCTCACCCCTCAAAAAAAAAGAAAAGAAAAAGGCCACAAAAGCAGCTCTAGTAGAAAAAAGAGGCTCCGAAACAGCACCGTGATCTCCAGCTCGGCAGCACAGGATCTAAAGAGGTGCGCGGATCTGGATTTGGGGTGCCAATACGACGCACGGTGGAGGGAAGGGCCTCGCTGAAGTCACGCAGACCACTGCCTTTCTCGTGCCACCGGACGGACTCTTTTCGCCCTACAGAGCTGTCCTTTCTCAGTCTTTTCTCCTGGCTCATCTGCACGCGCCGTGGCCGGCGTTCGGCGGGAGAACAGAGTCTGGCTGGCCACACGGTCGCCGCAGCTCCTCGGGCAGGAACACGGAGAGAGAGAGAGAGGCCCACGAGGATATGCTCGCCCCCCCCGACTGCCATCTGTCCAGGAAAAAGAAAACTCGAAGCGCACGGGGAGCGTCCCCCCGCGTCCAAGCCCGGGCCTCTGCCTGCTTCTCCCCTCCCTCGAGACGCGAGCTTGGACACACGGGGCTACTGCTTGCCCGGCTTGGTTATGATGCGGCTGGAGAAGTCGAAGAGGCTCTTGTTGATCTTCCGCAGGGCGGCGACCTCCTCCGCCAGCTCCGTCACCTGGATTTTCAGCTGCTCGTGATTCCCCGTCAGGTTCTGCAAGGAAAGGGCGGAAGTTAGGGGCCCCGCGGGACTCCGCGCCCCAAGGGTGCTGCCGGAGTCCTCGACGACCCTCGCGCCTCTCATCCCCAAATGGGGCTTGGAAGAGTTCTCAATACCGGGGGGGGGGTGTGTTATTGATGTGAGAAAGCGTTTCCTGCTCTCTCCGCCTCAAAAGGTGGGGGATACGTGAGCAGCCATAATCCAACGGGTGAAGAGGAAACAGAAATGAGCAGAGACCCCGAGAGGCCTAATTCCCTCCCAGAGTTTTTCTGGAGAGGATGGAAAGGGCTCTCAAGGCCTCTCTTGGGAGGGAGTCCAGGCACACACAAAAAGCCGCTTCTGGCAATGGCTAACTTAACCTCCGGAAGGGCATTCTAATCCCTACAGATCTGAAATCGCTTCCCAGCCCCCGGCAGTCCTTATGGGGGCGTTTCCCCAACTTTTCACAAGTGACGCAGTCTTTCCCTCTGGATAAAGGTTAAGAGGCAAGCCTCAAGGTTATAGATACACAGTGCACGAGCGCACACTCTTCAGGACTGCTGGCATTACAGCCCCTAGATTACCGAGGGTGGGGTGGGGGAGAGGTTGTTGTCAGTGCTGCATGGCCGCTTCCCAAGGGTCAGGGAGAAGAGCGCCCGTGAGAGAGGGGCTTCTCAGTGGCAGCCCCACGATTATGGAACTACCCCCCCAGGGTGGTGTGCCTGACCCCCCTCGCTTCCGACCTGCAGGGGCAGTTGACTCGAGTTTTATTTAGGATTAGGTAAAGGTAAAAGTTTCCCTTGCTCAAAAGCCAGTCGAATCCGACTCTAGGGCTGCGGTGCTCATCTCCGTTTCCAAGCCGAAGAGCCAGCGCTGTCCGAAGACGTTTCCGTGGTCATGTGGCCGGCATGACCAAACACCAAGGCGCACGGAACGCTGTTACCTTCCCACCGATGCAGTACCTATTTATCTACTTGCAATTTCTTGCTTTCGAACTGCTAGGTTGGCAGGAGCTGGGGCCAGAGATGGGAGCTCACTCCGTCATGTGGCACACTCGGGTCTCGAACTGCCGAACTACCGACCTTCCAGTCTGCGGCTCAGCGTCTTAACCACTCGAGCCACCGCAGGATTACATCTGACTAATTTGCATCTATTTCTCGGCAATCCTAATCAAGCCTTTAAGTTGTGGTCTTTTTTTGTTTTCTGTAAGAAATCTTGTAAGCCCCCCTTGAGTTCCACGAGGCAGAAAGACCGCTACTAAACATTTTTAATAAGGAAAGGTTATGCCTCCACACGGGGACCTGCTACTTCTAACCGTTATTTCTCAGCAGCGTCTGGAAACCGCTGACCCATTTTAAAAAAGGGGTGCGGGTCCCCCCGAAACACACCTCTCTCTCCTCCTAACTGCCTCAAATTTGGGTATGGGGGGGGAGGTCGGGGTGCCTCACCTTCTCTCTTGTCGAACACATCTGGGAGTACAACCGCTCTGCTTTTCCCAAGAAGCTCTCGCCGGAGCCCTACAAGAGGAAAAGAAGAAAACAGTTGCGAGGTCAGGGCAGGGGTAGGGGAAGAGAGATCCAGCAGCTGCTGCACGGTGTTTCAAGGAAGCCCCTCCAAAGGAAAATGGTAAATCAACACACATCTACAGATCAAGACGAGAAGCCGTGCTGGTCTGCCTGTAGCAGCAGAAAAGAGCAAGAGTCCGGGAGCACCTTGAAGACTATCCAGATTTGTGACAGGGGAGGAGCTTTCATGAGTCACGGCTCACTTCTTCAGGTACCTCCGTACAGGGGTCATTTCGTAGAAAAAGAGGTGCAGGAATTCATTAGCATCTTATTTGCATATGCCACACCCCCTAACACCACCGGAAGTGTGTCAGAAGGCAACACCCACTGCTCAGGCTCCACTGGACTCTTTTGGATTGCTAG